ACCCTATAAAAACTCTGACCTGACAATCATCAGGGCTGCTTCTACTCCCGAGATAGACAGCCCGGCCAGTCGAAAATTAAAATTTACCTTGCTACTTTTCTTTAAGTGGTGTTGGTGATTTTTTTACGAACTCTGTTCTATAACACTTCCTTCCAAGCCCCTGCTCTCACCCTCACTGTCTGGAATGCTTTCCCCAAAGTATACCCTCAGTTTTCCTTCTCAAGTGCCTCTCCTCCATGAAACTTCCCAAGAACACTTACTACTAGTCACTGAAATCCTTGGCTGTGCTCTCTCTAGCTCTGGCTGCATTTGCCCTCCTTCACAACCTGTATCAGGCAGTAGTTGTGTAAAGAATGAAATCCACCTCTAGGTGGAGACATGCCTTTGTCTTCCCCCTTAAGGGTTAATGCAATGGGGCAGGTCAGGGACCTGACTAGGGAACTACCCTTAGGAGGGTGGGTTCACCTTAAGATAATATGCATTTACATCCCAGAATTTCTGCTCCCTTGGGCAACTCCTACTAGGAAGTGCCCATGAGGTTTGGCTGGGTTTGCCCTCCTTTCTGAGGCATGACTCAGAAAGGTGTAACTATTTCTTTTTCTTTTTCTTTTGGATGCTGGCCAGCGCCTAAGTATGCTTTTAAACTCCCTAATACGTAGGGCCTCCTCTTTTTCTATAGCTCCCCTCTCTGCTGCCAGGTGGCTGACCTCCATGCTACCTTATCTCAAGGAGTATGGCTTCCTTTCCTCTCCTCCTCCCTTCCAGGCAGCTTCGAGATTTACAGCTTGTCTGCTGCCCTGGGGTTTCCTTTTAATGTCCAATAAATTGCCCTTGGGCTTCCATTTGAGTCTTTTCTTAAATTATTTTTATTAAAAAAAAAAACTAAGAACCTGGGAGGCAGAGGCAGGCCGATCTCTGTGAGTTCAAGGACAGCTTAGTCTACATAGCAAGTTCCAGGCCAGCTGGGGCTATAGAGAGATCCGGTCTCAAAAAGGCCCAAAAAAAGGAAGAAAGATGAGGATGAGGGTGAGGGTGAGGGTGAAGAAGGAGAAGAAAAACCAAGAATCCTAAGAGGGGACCTTCATTTCTCAGGTATCAAATGGCAAATGGTGGCTCCGCTGGGACCCCCACTTCTTTCCTATCTTTTAATTCTTTAATTGACAGGGAAAACAAACCCATTCCTGCAGGCCTACACACGATCAGTTACAAGGAGACAAAGCCCAGTGTTGTGACCTATAGGCCCAGTTCCACCCTAGGGACCTTTACTCAGGTAAAGTCAGATCCTTGACTCTACTGCAGAAAAGAATTTCAGGACAAGTCAGAGTGAAGCAGAGTTGGCTTTAGTAGGAGGAAGTAGTAATGAGTACACACTTTAAGGTTAATGGAAAGAAGTGAGACATGCAGTAACTGTCCTAATGTGACAGGAGACTAGAAACTAAAAAAAGCTGCATCCAGATGAACACATGCAGCTAGGCATAGTGGTACATACATTTAGTCCCAGTACTGGGAGGCAGAGGCAGACAGATCTTTGTGAGATCAAGGGCAGCCTGGTCTATATAGTGAGTTCCAGGCCAGCTGTGGCTACAAGGAGACTCAGTCTCATAAAGACTCCCCCCAAAAAATTTAACATATGAAAGAAATCATTTGGCTGAGAAAGACTGGAAGCCCTTCCCCACTTAGGCTTTACACAAAGCCCTTCCTCACTTGGGTTTCATCCAAGGAACAGAGTATGTGGGAAAAAAGCCTGTGACATACAAAGATAGGAGAAGTAGGTGCTTTGCAAATGTACTATGAAGGGTCACGTACCTCATGATCCCATGTGTTTTGACCTTTTCCCCAAGTTCACTAGCCAATTCCTATTTCTTGGGAGTGCTTTCTTTTTATTTTTATTAAACATTTTTACATTCATTTATTTATTGTGTTTGCATTGGGAGGAAATGTGTGCATGCATGTGCTCTCACGTGCATGCGTGGTCAGAGGACAATTTGTGGGAGTTGGTTGTCTCCTTTCACCTTGTGGGTTCCAGAGATTTAATTCAGGTGATTAGAGCTGTCAGCAAGTGTCTTTACATGCTGAGCTATTGCAATGACAAATAGTGTAAGGTATAGATGATGTCTTTGTGGCTCCGTGCGTTTCAGCATGTCTCGTATTCAAGTTCTCAAGTTTGTTCTCCTTCTCTAGGGTTCTAGCCATTTGTATCTTCTTAGTGTTTTGTAAAAAACACCAATCAAATTGTATAATGTTATCTATAAGAGACAGGAAAGCAAAATGTATAAAATGCTGAATTTTTCTTTGTTCAGGGCCCCACTTTAGAAGAAATATCTCATTCTGGGTTACTGTGCCATAGTAAACTGCTCCGTTTTAGCCCGTAGAGTTCTGTTCTCCTCTATTCTAGGCCTGCAATACTATCTTACTGGCCCTTTTTTTTTTTTTTTTCAGTGTTTTTGAGACAGGGTCTCCCTGTAGCCCCAGCTGTCCTGGAACTCACAATGTAGACCAGGCTGGCCTTGAACTCACAAAGATCTGCCTGCCTCTGCCTCCCAAGTGCTGGGATTAAAGGCATGCCCTACTAGGAAGACCCTGTCTCAAATAAAAAAAGGAAACTCAGAACACGTAGGATGGGAACTCTGAGTTCCTGGAATTCCCAGATAACACTAGCAATATCTATATGTATAATTTTGTTAGGTGAAAATTATATGAGCCAATTTATTAATTCTCTCATAGAATTTCCTTTTGTAAATGAGTTTGAAAGGTGGTTTATGCGGTGCATTGTTCAGATTTAGGGATGAGAGAGGAATGCTGACATGATCAAATTCAAAAGTCACAAACAGGCTGGTACTGTGGCTCAGTTAGTAGAGTGCCGTCCTAGCATGCACAAGGTCCTGGGTTTGATGCTTAGCATTGCATAAATCACTAGAGGTGGCACTTGTCTGTAAATTTAGTGCTGGGGAAGCGGAAGGGGGAAGATCAGAAGCTCAAGGTCATCATCTACATAGTGAGTTTGAGGCCAGCCTGGGCTACATGAGATCCTGCCTCAAAAAAATGGGGGTGGGGCTGGAAAGATGGCTCAGCAGTTAAGAGCACTGACTGTTCTTGCAGAAGACCCAGGTTTAAATCCCAGCACCCACATGGTGGCTAACAACCATCCGTAACTGCAGTTCCAGGGAATCTGACACCCTCTTCTGTCCTCTGCAGGCACTATACAACACAAGTACACTTACCCACATGCAGGCATAACACTCATACACATAAAATAAAAATAAATAGATCAAAAAAGTTTTAATTACAAACACTCTGGTATAAGCAAGCATATTTAAATGTCACTTATTTATACAATTCTTTTCTTTAATTTCAACTTTATACATATGAGTGTTTGCCTGAATGTATGCCTGTATACCGTGTGCATGCCTGGTTCCTGGACTAGAGTTACAGAGGATTGTGAGCTCCCATTTGGGTGCTGGAAACTGAACCCAGGTCCTCTAGAAGAGGAGTAAGTACTCTTTACCACTGAGTCACGTCTCTAGACCCTGTATAAAATTCTCATTTGAGAAGACTGGAGAGTTGGCTCAGTGGGTAAAGTGCTTGCTATGCAAGAATGAGGGCCTAAGTTCAAATCCCCAGCACCCAACCAAAAAAAATCAGGCAGGTTGTGTGCAATTATAACACTGAGCAGGGAGAAATAGGCAGATTCCCAGGGTTCACTGGCCAACCACCCAACCTAGCCCAAAGGGCAGGCTCTAGGTTCAGTGAGAGACTCTGTCTCTAATTAACTAACTAACTAGCTAACTAAGGTGGAGATTATGATAGAGGAAAGAAGATATATGAAGTTGACCTCTGGTCTCCACACGTGCATGTATAGGTGGGCATACTCATACATACGAATGCATATACAAGTACACACAACACTCACACATACATACACAGAAAAGAAAAAGAGAAGAAATAAAATTGTTATATGAGATATCTTAGAAATGGGAATACTGTCTTTGTAGGTGATGCTGATTTTCTCAGTTGTGTTGAAATTCTTGACTCAAGCAGAAAATGTAAACTAGATCCTAAGAGAGGCTTTCATCCCTTTCATGTCGCTTTTTAAGATTTTTTTTTTATTTATGTGTGTATGTTTGTGTGAATGTATTCAGAGGCCAGAAGACAGCATCAGATTCCCTGGATCTGGAGTTACAGACAGTTGTAAGCTGCCCAACATAGGCGTTAGGAACCAAACTCAGATCCTCTGTAAGAGTAGTACATCTCTCTAGCCCCTTTCCATATCTTCTTAATTTTCCCTGTCTTCTATCTTGCTTCACTTACAATTATTTAGTATATTATGTATTAATCTATCACATGTATATATTATATTGTATGTATCAAAATGTATTTGCTGCATCACACCTGTATATATCAGATGCCTATTTATTGTGTCTCATACACTCATTTAGTGTATTATGTGCTTATGTATCACATATTTAATGTATTTTAGTTTTGTGTCTATAGGTATGTACTATGTGTCTAGATTTCACAACGAAATCTAATGTATCATGCTTATGCATCGTACATATTTACATATTATGTATTTATGTATCACATACTTACTAGATCATGTTACTACATCATCTGTATATTTATTGTCTGCCTCTTTGCTAACTTCAAAACACTAGCTCCAGGAAGGTCAGATTTTTTTTTTTCCTTTTGGGGAGATGAAGGGATGGATTTGTAAAGTGATTGTGGAGGAAATTTCCCCTTGGAAGTGAAGGGGCTCACTGCAGGGTGTCCCAAGCCCAGCAGTGCTGACGAGAGAAGATTCGAAGTTCTGGGCTATCCATGGCTGACCCTGGTACACAAGGCCAAGTCTCTCTTCCAGTCTTTCTGTAGTCAGACCAGCATGCCAAGCCAGTTTCCTCAATGGTAAACTATGGACAAGTTCTGCCCTTTATAAGTGTTTATTGGACAGTTTGTGTCAATACCTACTTTGATGCCTAGACAAGTGTTACAGAGATCAATGAAAGGGAATCCAAAAGAAAATTTATTATCAGTATGTTAGAAACATCCACTGTGCTGTCCAAGCTCCCAACTGAAGCTGTCACTCTTCTGATTCCTTTCCTGTAGCTCTTAGGCAGAAGTGGATGCCTCTGGGCTTAAGCTACACAGCTCTAGGGATGGCATTATTTCAAAAGCCAAGGGCCCAAATTCCAGGTTGGGATGGTGACTCATCTACTTTCTGCTACGGAACTCTTGGGGCCTATACTGATCCATACAACAGATGTTGTTGGGAGTATCTGCAAGGGGCATACTGGAGGGTCCCAGAAAGGGAGGTGGCAGTAGTTGTGGGGCTGAGGAAGAGGACTCTCAGAGTGTGCAGGGAAGGGCATGTGCTGACTTGTCCAGGAGCTGACAAGAGTCTTCTGTTTGCCCTTCCATTGCCTCTTGACTCAAAAGACTTGCCTGGAGGGGGAGGCTGGCATCCTCTTGCCTTTGAGTGGGGAGGATGTCTTCATAGGGACTCTGGTTACAGTATCCTCTACCCTGCTCTAGCCTCCAGGCCTTAGAAGACATTTCCACATCCTTTAGGAGTCTGAAATGTGTCCAGTGCTGAGTGCATGATGGTTAGATTGGGCTTTGCTGTCTTCACAGCCCGAAGCTCCCTCAGTGACAGCTCACTCAGCTCCACGGAGGCCAGACTGTAACCACATGAATAGGACAAAGGGGGTGAGTAGATCAGTTGGAGAAAGAGGCTAGGACTTGAGGTGGGATGGAGGTTGTTGGAGCTGCCTGTCTAGGCTGTACCAAAGACACCACTGCCAAAAGGCAGCCAGTTGCAGTCTATTAGCAACTGAGGGTTTTTAGAAGGGTGTTGGGATCATTGGCCAAGACTGTATCCAATACGCTGTAGACATTTGTTTGAGATACAGGACTGGGACTAGGACTTTAGTGGGTGAATCTCTGTAGGATGGGCACTCAGATCTGTGTGTGACCTTTGTCACACTCCAAGTCTTAGGGAGGACTCCGAGGTACCCACTCCACCCTGGGGTTTATAAGTTGTGTCCTTAGCACCCCCTCCTGCCCCTGCCTTCACCTGAGGGTCTTCAGGCAGCATGTTGGATGCTTCAGAGCTGAACACAGATTGGTCACCATGGGGCCAGACAGCTGACAGCCACTGAGGTCCAGGGTGGTGAGGACTGGGCTCTGTTGGAGCACAATGACCAGGTACTGGATTGCTTCACGGAGGTCAAGCAGCTGCATCCTGTTGGGGAGGGATGACCTTAGGAGTTGCTGGGGGCAGGGTCCCCTCTCTCCATCCCTCTAAGACCAGGTCTCACCTGAGTGTCTGCACCTGACACTTGGGCCAAACCAAACCTTCACTCAGCAAATGTAGGCCTATCTTGGTGAGCCGGCACTGGAGGATACCCAGCTCTCTTAGGTTGGAAGCCACCCTCAGGGCTTTAGCGAGATCTTGGCAAACTGCATCATGTAGTTTGCAGCATGACAAGCTGTGGTCAAGAAGCATGTGAATTGGTCTGCAGCCCCCTGGCCACTTTTCCACATCCACCTGGACAAACTACCAACTCCCTAATAGTCTGATGTTAAGAAATATGTGGCTCCTCTTAATTATCCTTCAAGTTCAGATGGGTCATTACCCCCAGAAGCAGAGCAGCTGAGCTATTTCTGCCGTTTTGTTTTTCTTTTATAAATCATGAGATGAACATCTTCATGCACTTGGTTTACTGGTAGAATTGATGGACCAAATAATATTCTCTTTTTGGCTCCTTTTGTTTATTTTCAGATTGTTGTACCTGACGCTCATGAAACCAGTTTGTCATCCCATCTTCCATTGATGTATGACTGTCACTATCAGTTCCTATAGTTTTCTTTACTTTCTGCTACCTGGGGATAGCTAGAAAATTATCATTATTCTGAGAACTCTACCTGTGGCGCTTCTATAAAATATGTGTATGAGTATCTTGCCTGCATGCATGTAAGTGCACCTGTGTGTGTAATGTCCATGGAGGCAAGGAGAGGGCATTGGATCTCCTAGAGCTGGAATTACAGGTGGTTGTTAGCTGTCATGTGGGTGCTGGGAACTGAACCTGGGTCCTCTGGAAGAGCAACCAGTGCTCCTGAGCCATCTCTCCAGCCCCAACCTCAGTAAATCTTTTTTTTTTTTTTTTTTGTCTTTTTGAGGCAGGGTCTCCCTGTAGCCCCAGCTGTCCTGAAACTCACTATGTAGACCAGGCTGGCCTTGAATTCACAAAGATCCGCCTGCCTCTGCCTCCCAAGTGCTGGGATTAAGGGCATGCACCACCACGCCTGGCCCTCAGTAAATCTATACTAATCCTCTAAGGTAGAATCTATTGGCTATATTTTACAGAGAGGAAGCCAAAGCATAGACAGACTGACTTGCTCAAGGGTACAGAGAAGCAGGATGCTCCTGCTCCTTAACCTCATAGCTGATCTGAACACTTTCCCACAGAAGAAGCAGTTTCCAACAGCACTTAGGAGCTTCCTTTGGAAAGGAAAACATTCTTTTCTGTCTCTCCCTATAGGCTGTGCTGCACTCTGTTTCCCACAAAACCTAGCACCCAGCCTTTCCCCACTAGCATTTAACAGTGGTGGAACCCAGACAGACTCTCAGCCCACACCCTTATCCTTCTCCATTAGGTAAATTCCTGTCTCTGCATAGGGTACTCAGCTCTGAGTCCTCTTCATGGGAGGCACTGGGGTATGGTCACTCACGTCAGGCTGCTCAGATTACACTGCTGGTCAATCATGACTTCACAGAGTGGATGTAGTAGGGAGGCCAGGGGTTGCTTCTTGGTGGCTCGAGAACTGCTGGGAGAGAGCAAGGTGAGGCCCACTGTGCCCCTTCCAGGACTTTCTAGAAAGATCTTGCTCTTTCTTACCTAAGGTTCTGGGTTTCCAGAACTGCCTCTGTCATTTATCCTATATCCCCTGCACCTCCCCACCTCCACAGCAAACTAGAACAAAACTCTAGGACCAGCTTCTGCCAGTATTCTACTGTTCATGCTCAATAGATGGCTAGCCTTGAGACAGGTACTGAGTAGAGCTAAGGTCAAAGAAAGTCAGCACCCACGTCCATATAGGAGCCTAGGATCTGGTGGAAGATGGGCAGGGTATCATGGTATAGTGTGGTCATTGGGAGTACTTCTGGGGCCAGAAGTTGGATCCAAGTGATGGAGCCAGGGCAGGCTTTGAAGTTCGATAGCAAATAGTGTTGAAGTGGAAGGAACACAAGGTGTAAGGCTCAGCACATAGGTATATTCCAGAATTTGTGAGAAAGCGTCAGGGAAGAGACAGGGCTTTGCTGGAGGTCTGTTGGCTGTGTTAGGAGGATTGCGTTGATTCGGATGACTAAAAATGAGCATGTTGAGGTGATCCCGGGGGAAGAAGAGGGGCTTGCAAGGGATGGACAAAGCAGCCCCAAGGGCCTCTCTGCTGTTGGGGATATCAGATCTGGACATGCTCACCAACCCAGGTGGGCACAGGTACACAGACACAGCACTGGTGAGGACAGCCCTTCCCTGGCCACTCACCCCTTCAGCCGCTTCACCAGATTCTTCTTTTTCTTCTCTCGTGCAGCCACCAGCCCACAGCTGACCAGCTTCAGTGCCTGTCCCTCTGGGCAGCGTTTCACACAGTAACCCAAGACCTCTAGGTCCATCCAACTGAAACGCACTCTCTCCAGCACCAGTTCTGGAAGACTGCTCAGGGCCTGGTGCACAAAGGTATCATCCTGTGTCTCATACAGGCAGTATAGCAGCTCCAGCCCAAGGTTGATCTCCTCTTCCTTCTCCTCCTCCTCTTCCTCCTCCTCCTCTGGTTTCTCGGTGTCCTCTAACTTATCATTCCTTTGTGCCCCTACTGGTGCCACCCTGCGGCGGCCTTGTCCCTGTACCCACCGCAGGGTGTCCTGCTTCACACGCTCTGGCACCACACAGCCAAAGTGGCGTTCAATATCACCAATCCACTCTACATTCAACAGACCGAAGAGGAAGCGAGTAGTGAGTACGAGGTGACCACGCAGCTCTGCATCAGAGTTCAAGAGCATTTGCACACCCCCAACCGGTGCCCCTGGAGCTCCTTTGTCCTCCAACAGGTAGGACAATGCAGCCAAGAACTCCTGGAAACTCAGGTCGATGAAACTGTAGGTGACTTTCTTTTCTTGCACGTCTGGTACTTCCTTCTTGCTGAGAAACAATGTCTGGACTTGGGAGCCTTGAAGCTTCAGTCGCTCCAGGTCCTTTTCAGAGAAGTGAGCCTGGCCCTTCAGGATGCCCTCCCGGGCCAGGAGGCACAGCTTGCACAGCTCTCTCGGCACCTGGGGCCCATCGGCGCCTGGAGACTTCAGCGTGCTGATAACGAAGTGCAGGTACACTGACGTTGTGGTCTTGGAGGTGCGAGACAGGTTCTGACCCAACTGGAGCTGCTCCTGCAGCACGGTGCACACGATCCAGCACACAAAGGGCACAAAACACAGTGTGAACAGCGTCTCATTCTCTTTTACAAAGCGATAGGCACGCTCCGCCTTCTTCTCATCCTTGAAGAACTTAAAGAAATATTTTTTCTTGTCTTTGTCGGAAAAGCCGCACACCTCAGCGCACTGTGGTGAGCTCAGTCTGCCCTGCAGCCTCCCAGGGGCGACAGTGCGTGTAGTCACCAGTAGGCGAACCGAGGGGAGCAGCTCCTGGCTCAGCAGCCCACTCAGTATCCGCAAACCGCTTGTAGCTTGGAAAGGGTCTGTGCAAGGCGCAGCCTCCGGGGCTCCTAAACCGGGCAGTTCGTCTGCGCCGTCCAAGATAAACAGCAGGCGCTGGGGTTGTGCCAGCATCTGCCGCACTGGCGCGACGCGGTCCGGGCACTGGTCCAGGATCAGGTCTGCCAAGCTGCACTCACCTGGCCGCTCCAATACCTCGCGGCACAATAGGAAGAAGGCGAAATCCACCAGGCCATGGTACAGCTTGCCTGCTGCCCAGTCGTAGAGGATTTTCTTGGCTGCCATGGTCTTGCCGATACCTGCCGGGCCCTGCAACACCACGGTCAGCGGCCGCTGGCCCTCCTCGTCGCCGCGGAACAGCCGATTAAAGGTGTGCGAGTCTGAGCGCCGCGCTCGCTCGGGCTCCGGCTCTTCCTCCGTCCCCAGCACCTCGTCCTCCATCCCTGGCGCGATGAGCAGCTTGGTGAAGCGCTTGCTGATCTTCACCGAGCGGGCGTTCCTCTCCTTCACTTTAGCGTGCTGTAGCAGCACGTGCTCGCGGTATTTCTTCTTGTACTCTGGGGGTGGGAGACGGTGGAGAGTAGGGATGGACTCATCGTCCAGGGACAAACACCCTGCCGGCTCAGATCTGGCATCAGTTTCCTCTATTGTGCTATGACTTCTCCTCCCCCAACCGTCTCACATCCAACGATCCCCAACCGCTATCCCCAAACTGCGCTAGGAACTTGGGCTGCGGGAGGACGGTTCCCGCTCTGGACCGCTCGCCAGAGTGACTCACAAAACTTACTTGACACAGAGAGAAGCGCGGAGCAGCTGGGGCCCAGTCCTGGAAGGCAAACCCAAGATAAGGTCCACTCAGCCGGCTGAGTCGGGAGGGGGCGCACCAGGGGTCTGAGTTGCCCCGGGAGCCTCGTGCTTTAAACAAAGGGGTCCTTCTGGGAAAGGAGGGACTGGGAAGGAGGCACGGCCCCGGGTGGGAGTGAAGTGGCTAAATGGAGTCTTCCTAGGGCGCAGACAGAGGATCTATGCAGGTCGCCCCACCCAACTGAGCTTACCCTCCAGCCTCTGCGCCTTGAGCCTCGCTGCCACATCGCGAGCGTCAGCCTTCTTCAGGACCTTTCGGGTAACATCCAGCGCTGGTTCTGGCCCGTAGAACTGGGTCAGTCTTTCAACGAGGTCCACGCGATCCACGTGCTCCAGCCGCCCTCGCGGGATGCTGCGGCCATCCAGCTGTGCGTCCCGCAGCTTGTAGCAGAAGCGCTTCAACTGCTCCTGGGTCAGGTCCTCCAGCGCAGCTAGAAGCAACTCCCGTGCCAACGCATTGCGGGTCTCGGTGCTGGGGGTGGCCAGGATCATCATGGACACCACCTGCATGGTACCCTTCTCGAACCTCTGTGCTAACACCTCACACATTCTCCATGGTCAATATGTCGTAGAGATCCACCAGAGTGGAGGCAAACCCCAGACTCTGTCTTCCTCTCCCACAACCCCCCAGAAAGATGTATCATGGTGTTCCAAGGCATCACCTCAGACCCATAACTGCTTGTGGAGAGAGCTAATCCGTTTCATTTTACACACCTGGCCAGCCAGATAAAGACCAGACCAGAAAAAGGCCACATGGGGTTTCTACACGGGTGTGCACTCTCCCTCTGCAATAGCCCTAGTGCAGGGACTTCAGGAACGGTGAACCCACAAGCCCAGCCTTGCCAGGGTTCCTGAATTTTCCATTCAAAATTCATAGAGCACTCAGGTTTAAGAGCTGAGCCCACTAGAGTTGAGCCACTTCACTCCCACATTGGCTCTGGATTCCACACTCACCTGGAGCTGGAGGTCCCTGCCATATCCTTGGAGTCTTGTCCCAGGATCTAGCACTCAGAGGCAGAGGCAGGGAGCTAAAGTGAGCCTCCCCGGGCAGAACTGGTCACATCTTGGGAGTGGAGGGTTGTTCAGCCTTGTCCATTCCAGCTCAGCTAGTGTCTTGCTGACAGTCAAGAAGCTCTTAATTACCCTGTGCATTACTGTGTAAGTGCTGTACTTGGTGACCTTTGGTTCTCTACTCTCTTATTCCATCAATACCCTGGGTATGGCACTGTATACAACTGGGAGGAGACTCAGAACCAGGAGCTGGCTAAGAACCAGGCCTTCAGATATGGCCTTAGGGGGCCTAAATTCTGCAGACAGGGTGTGAAAATCAAAGGGGAAGTGTGTAGGCAAGGCTTTGGGCTTAGGTGGGAAGAAGGCTCTTCCCAGGGCCCAGGGGGAACCAGCCCCTGAAGTCTGTAGCCTGTTAAGCCGCTACACTCAGCCAGAGTGGGCTAAGGAGCAGAAATTGGATGTTTGTGATCTCAGGACTGGCAAGTAACCATAGGAATGTGGACTTCTACTGTGTGCTCACACACACGATAGTAAATAAAATAGATTTTTTTTAAAAGGGGAGGGGACTGCAGAGATAGATCAGCAGTTAAGGGTGCTTATTGCTCTTGCAGAGGACTTGAATTTGTTTCCCAGCACCCATGTGAAGGGGCTTATAACCATTATAACCACCTATAGCTACAGCTTCAGAGGATCTAACTCCCTCTTCTAGCCTCTACAGGCACCAACACACACACTTGGGTACATGCAGGACACACACACACACACACACACACACACACACACACACACATAAAATAAATTTCAAAGCCAGGCTGGTCTTGGGTGAACTACTCAACAGCTGTGTGATGTGTGACCTTGTACAAGTTGATTCTATCTCACCTTTCTTCAGCCCTCAACATTGTCCTTGAAAAACTTTCCTGTTGTCAGAAGGACTGAGGCTGCAGTACTGGGAACTGAGGACCAGCATTACTTTGGCTCCTGGACATCTTTCAAAAGAAATGTGTGTCCTGGGAACACCAAGGTTGTGACTAGATTCCCCATCTGTATTAGAGGGACCTTTTGGACTCTGAGCCCTATACACTCTCGGTTTCGCTGATAACAGCTTTGATACTGCAGTAGCATTTCTGGAGCCCGTGGCTACAGGTGAAGCTGCAAGTTTGGGGGTAAATGTTGGAGTCTGAGGAAGGGAAGGAAGTTGGAGGCATGCTTGGGGGATGTAGGAGGTAGGCAGGAGGTGAGGAGAGAAGAGAAAGAGCTAAGGGAGTAGGGCCCAGAAGGGTGTGGAGCCAGCAGACAGACAATAATTGGACTCTGCCATCCTAGGACAGTTTTTAAATTTTAAATCTAGCACAGAATTTAGATTCCCCTGCGCATTACTCAGAGGTCCCTCCCTCAGATTTCCTCTCTTCAGCAAGGCTTCCTGGAAACCATCCATAATTTCTTTTCATCCCTAAGCTTTGCCCTCTTGGCAGCTGCCAAAACAGTGTCCCTGGTCTCCCCTGACACCTCAGCATCACCTACCCCTCCTCAGAATTCTTTCGGTGATTTTCTGTCTTTAGAAAGGCCTGATTTTTGAGCATTCCACATGCCTGGAGGCAGCAGCCTGGGCATTACATTTTCACTTTTCAGACTCAGGAAAAGAACTGCCTCAAAGCACCAAAGTAATTTTGTAGAAATGGGCAAAAGGAGAAGGAAGTGGACTCCCTTAACCCATCCCATTCCAGCAAATCAGACAGCACAGAGACAATGGACCCACTCCTATAAAAACACAAACTACTGAAACTGATTCAAGAAGAAATATACATCTTTAGATCTTTAGAACTTGGGGAAAAGAAAAAAAAAAAACTTCCTACAAACACAAGCCTGGATCTGGTGGCCCCATGGGGGGACCCTCACAGATTCCTCCAGGAAACAAAGGGAAAATTGCTTCCCAGCTTACTCTGAGGCCATAACATCCTGTCACCAAGCCCAGCAAATTCAACCCAAGGAAATAGAAATTAATGCCCCTGAGTGTAGATGTGAATGAGCCTCAGCAAGTTGCCCAGTCAAGGACACCTATTGACATGATCACATGAGTTTTCTTTCTTAGTCTGTTGACAAAAATAGACTATATTAATGGGTATCTAGATTTTGAACCAGGTTTTGATGCCAGGAACAAATCCCACTTGATTGTGATATATAATTTATTTTATACAAGCTGGATTCAGCTTGCTAATATTTTGTTGAGGTCCTTTGCATCTATGTTCATGAGAAACGTTGGCCTGTAGTTTTCTTTTCTTACAATCTCTTTGGTAGATATCACAGAGAGAATGATAAGCTATGATTACAGGGGCTTCTCCCAGGCACACTAGGCCAGTTTAACATCCAAAATTGATTAATGTAATGTCATACAAATACCAAAAGACAAAAGCTACTTGATAATTTCAATGGATGAAGAAAAATATTTATAATATTGAACATCTCTTTTGTGATTAAAACACTAAACAGTCCAAGAGAAATAAAAAAATACTGCTGTAGAAAGAAAATTCCTAAATATTTGTAAATTAAGCATTGTATTTCTAAGTAACACAAGGGTCAAAACAGAAGTCTCAGGAAGAATTTTATGTATTTTAGTTAGATAAGAATAAAAATTGACAAAATATATGGTACTCATTAAAGACAGTTCTGAGAGGGAAGTGTATAGCATTTAGTGTTAGGCCAAACTGGGCCCCAAGATGGAGTCGCTACTGATCAGCAACATGGTGATCACAACCTGGTGAGCAGCATTCCAGGAAACAGAAACTAAATCATCCTAGTTTCTCAGTAACCATCTGACCTTTGTTTTAACAAGGCACACTAATCATAACAGCAATTTTCATTGCAGTCAACTGAAAAACCAAAAAACACCTAACTGAAGCCCCACCACCACCAAGGCACCTGCTACAGTCTCACCTTCCTCTACCCACAAAAGAAAAACCCTATAAAATCCAGCCTGCTGTGACAAGAAACTGCTGCTCCCTGTCTCCAGTGGGAGCAGTCCAGCAGCTTATACATCTCAATAAAGTTCTTCTTTTCTCACCTCAGAGTGGTCTCTAGTGGTCCTGGTCTTTTCACAAACCTAACAGCTGGTGCAGAAACCCAGGAAGGAGCCCCCGCCCCCTTTCTGGGATGCCTGCTGTCCTTCCTTGGCCTGACCACTGAGCTGATATCTAGACTCTCTGAGGGTCTCAGACACCCACCTGGTGCCGGCTCCTCACCCACCACAGTTTGCCCTTGCCTCTCTGGATGTCCTCCTTCCTTTGCCCTTCATTCCTCCTCTGGTAAGTGTCCCGACTCCGCTTGGCCTGATCTAGGGCTTTGCTCTCTCTCTCTCAAAGCCCTGCTGGCACACCAGGCTACACTCCGCACCCCCAGGGGGTTCCCTGGCCTCTATGTGGGAAGCCTGCTAGATGCCTTGGGACTCACTCACTCTCTGGTGTCCTTGGTACCTGGGACACTTCTGCCCTTTTTCATGCCTTTCTCTCTTCTACAGCCTTTTCTCCCTATCGTTGTGTAATTTTTCTTCGTTCTTGCGATCCTCTTTCCTGTTTCCCCATCACTCCTCTGGCCTGTCTCCTTAAGAATTTGCAACCTCTCAGACTCCAAGGTGATATTAACCTCTGCTGTCTAATTTTTTACTGTAACACAGCTTGACCACGGTATAAATTGGACAATGGGTACTTATGGCCCAAAAATGGGACTTTTCAAATTCTTGATTTTCAAAACAAATTCAACGATTTTCAAATTCTTACTGACTTTGACCATTTCTGCCATCACTTGGGAAAAATGGTCTGAGGTACCCTATATCCAAGCTTTTTTTGCCCTCCCTTCTCATCCCTTCCTCTGGGTCCCTCTCTCTGTGCTGCCTGCCACACCCACCAGATCCTTTCAGCTAAAACCTCTCCTAACAACTGCTTGTCTAGGCCCAGCCCCCACCTTACCAGTCTGCTGTTGATTCCCAAGCCAGTAATGACTTGGACCTGCCCACAGCCCACAGCCCCTCCACCTTCGACTCAGGTCCCCACTCCCCACTCCCCCACTCCAGCTGACAAGCTGAAAGCCTGCCCCCTACCCCACCCCTCAGTGCACTCACTTGCTGCACAGACCATTGCTCTAATGGCCTTTTGGCCTTTTCCCTCTGCACAAAGTCTTGGAGGGTGGAGGCACGATTATTCATGTCCACATTTCTTTTATTATGTCTAATTTCTCCTAAACTGAACAGCACTTGGGTTCCTCCTCCAGTGATCCAGTTCACTACATCAAACAATTGTGCTACCTTACCCAAACCTATGACCTTACCTGACATAGTATTTATGTTATTCTTTCCACCACTTCAACCCCTGATGAACAAGAATGTGTCTGGCTTACCACCCAGGCCCATGCTAAGCAGGTTCATGTTACAGACCTTACCTACCCTGTGGGGGTGGAGGCAGTCCCTAAAGAGGACCCCAACTAGATATACCAAGTCCCCTACCCCCCTTCCCCTGGTAGAATAGCAAGGGACAGGATGGGTGTCTGCCTCCTGGCAGGCTTCCAGCAAGCTGCTCACAAGGTAGTTATTTTTGACAAACTGCACTCCTCGTTGTCATCAAGACAAACGGCTCCTATCAACTGGTACAAGATCTTCGTCTCGTTAATACTGCTGTTCTCCCCATCCATGCCGTAGTCTTTAACCACAACCTCTCCTTTCACTCATTCCTTCCTCCACCACCCATTTCACTGTCCTAGACCTCAAAGATGCCTTCTT